TCAATGTTTTGTGCTAAAAATATGATTCGTTGCCCATGTACTAAGTGTTGGAATAGAGAGTGGCACCATCGACCTAAAGTGAGGGCTCATCTCATCACAAATGGCTTCATGGATGGGTACTTTATTTGGAATAGAAATGGAAAAATAATAAGTAGAAAATGATGTTGCCCCCAGGTGAGTGAGTCATCAAGTGCGGCTGCCACTAGGAATAATATTCCAAGTGTTGATTAGCTTAGAGACATGCTTCATGATGCCATGGGGCCTGATTTTTTTAATAAGGAAAATAGTGCTATTGTTGTAGAAGATGTAGTGCAAGTTGGTTATGGTTTTGAGGATGCATCTGGTGGTGATAAGCCAATATTTGAAGAGCCAAGAGGAGATGCAAAAAAATTCTTTGATCTCCTACAAGTAGCTGAGACACCTCTTTTGATGGGTGTGATGATGGTGTCACCATTTTAAAGTGGGTGTGTGAGATTGTAAATGCAAAGACACTTTTTAACATAAGTGTCACTAATTGGGACTATGTGATAAAACGTAGTCTAATGGCATTTAAAAAAAATGATTGAGAGAAATTGCTAAAAGATTATTATAGTGCCAAGAAGATGTTGAGACGCCTCGGTCTCAGGCATAAGAAGTATGATATTTGTGTGAACAATTGTTTTTTGTATTATGAAGAATTCAAAAGCCAATGCTATTTAGAGTGCTCGGTATGTGGAGAGCCACAATTTAAGCAGAGTGATGTTCATTTTGCTAAGCCCATAGCAAGAAAGTCTTTGTGGTATCTCCCAATTATTCCTAGACTTCAAAGATTGTACATGTCTAGGAAAACTACCGAGCATATGATCTGGCATTTGAATTGTTGTAATGAAAATGAAAAAATTGTTCATCCTGCATGTGGAGATGTGTGGAAACACTTTGATCCCACCCATCCTGACTTCGCTAACGAACCGAGGAATGTCAGGCTAGGCCTATGCATTAATGGGTTTACTCCTTTTGGACAATCTGCATCTCCATACTCTTGTTGGCCAGTCTTTGTGTCAGTTTACAATTTGCCTTCAACAATGTGCATGAAGGAAGAGTATGTGTTTCTTTCATTGATTATCCAAGGTCCCCAAAGTCTTAGAAAGAACATTGATGTAATGCTGCAGCCACTAATTGATGATCTTAAACAACTTTGGTACTCTGGAATCCAAACTTATGATAGCTTTAGACATCAATACTTCCTAATGAGGGTTGCAATTATGTGAACCATTAGTGACTTTCATGGATATGCAATGTTGTCTGGATGCAGCACACATGGTAGATTAGCTTGTCCATATTGCATGGAAAATTCAAAAGCCTTTTGACTACAACATGGTCGGAAGACATCATTTTTTGATTGTCACCAACAATTTTTGCCACAAGATCATCCATTTCGAAGAAATAAGAAGGATTTCACCAAGGGACTTGTAGAGAATAAAACCATGCCAAAGAGATTATCTCGTGATGAGGTGCGCAATCGCATCCAATGGCTACCTAATATACTATTTGGCAAGCCACCTCCAAAACAAGAAATTCAAGGATTTGGTGAGATACATAACTGGTTTAAAAAGAGTATCTTTTGGGAATTACCATATTGGCATACAACCTTGATTCAACACAATTTAGATGTCATACATTGTGAGAAAAACTTTTTTAATAATATCCTACATACAGTAATGGATGATCCAATGACAAAGGTCGATAAAAATGCAACACTTGATCTAGAATTGTATTGTAAAAGAAAAAGTCTCCACATACCCAAAACAAGATCAGAATCAAGTAAAAAACCTAAGGCCACTTATGTTCTAAGCAGAGATCAAAGAAAATTAGTTTGTTAGTGGTTAAAAGAACTTAGATTCCCAAATGGGTTAGCATCCAACATATCTCGGTGTGAATATGCGAGAGGCACGATTGTTCAGTATGAAAGTCATGATTGTCACATTTTCATGCAAAGCCTCCTGCCAATTGCATTTTGTGATTTACTACCGAAACAAGTTTGGGAGCCTCTTGTTGAGATTAGTGACTTTTTAGGGCCTTGTGTGCTCCTGTGATTTGGGCCAATGATATGGCAACGTGGTTGGAAAAGATAGTAGAAATCATTTGCCAACTAGAGCGAATTGTTCCACCTTCATTCTTTGACTGTATGGAACACCTTATAATCCACCTTGCATATGAGGCATGTGTAGGTGGACCAATGCAATACCAATGGATGTATCCATTTGAGAGGTAATTATTACTAATTTATAATTAATGTGTATATGAATATACTTCCATAACTTATTTGTAAAGAAATTATATTGTAATTCTTGATGAATCAGGCGAATGCATTGTCTAAAGTTGACAGTCAAAAACAAAGCACGCCCAAAAGCATCCATATGTGAGAGTTACATAATGTCTGATATCACAAACTTTACCTCACATTACTTTAATGAAGGAGTTGACAGTAGAAGTGACAGCCCCTCTAGGAATATTGTTGGTGGATTCAATGCAAATTGTGAACAGTCCATCTTTAGATGTGTTGGGAAACCTATTGGTTGAAAGATTATGAGATGTTACTTGACGGCAGAGGAGCGCAAAGCTGCTTCATATTACGTGTTAATGAATTGTGAAGAATTACGAGAATGGGTCAAGTGAGTAACTCTTTATAATT